CTCAAACTCTTGGGCTCAAGTGATTCTCTTGCCTCAGCCTCCCAAGCAGCTGGGACCACAGGCACCCTTCACAACACCCAGCTGTTTGTTTGTGTTTGTTTGTTTGTTTGTTTGTTTGAGACAGAGTTTCAAGCTGTCACCCTGGGTAGAGTGCTGTGGCATCACAGCTCACAACAACCTCAAACTCTTGGGCCTACACCATTATTTTGCCTCAGCTTCCCAAGTAGCTGGGACTATAAGCACCTGCCTCAAGACCTGGATTTTTTTTTTGTTGTTGCATTTGTCATTGTTGTTTTAGCTGGCCCGGGCCAGGTTGGCACCTGCCAACCTTGGTGTATGTGGCCCGCCTCCCTATCCACTGAGCTGTGGGTGCCGTCCACACCCAGCTGTTTTTAAAGATGAGATCTTGATCTGGCTCAGGCTGGTCTCAAACTCGTGGGCTCAGGCACCTGCTTCGGCCTCCCAGAGTGCTAGGATTACAGGTGTGAGCCACTATGCCTGGCAGCTCCCACATAATTTTTAATGGAAACTACTGCCTGTAGGCCAAATCTTATTGGTATCTGTTTTTTGAGACTCAGGAGCCAAGAATATATATTTTTTATATCATTGGGGGAAAAATCAAAATTATATTCTGTGACATGTGAAAATGATATGAAATTCAAATTTCTACATCTATATGCAAAGCTTTATTGGAATAGCCATCATGCCTATTTATTGTCCTGCAAAAACTATACTATTTACTGTACGTGTATATGGCCCTTCACAAAAAACATTGCCCTGTTGGAGGACACCCTTCAGGGTTTTCTGATTCAGATTCAGATTCTATTGACACTATTCCATAATCTCTATAGTTACAACTGTTAATAGCAAAAAATACATCTTGCCTATAAATCTGTGAATAAATTCTTCCAGCTGGAGAGACAATCTTACTCCCTGTTTTTTTTTTTTGTTGTTGTTGTTGTTTGTTTCTTTGTTTGAGATGGGGTCTTGCTCTGTCACCAAGGCAGTGGTCCGATTACAACTCACTGCAGCCTCAATCTGCTGGCTCAAGTGATTCTCACACATCAGCGTCCTGAGTAGCTGGACTACAGGTGCATGCCACCGTGTCCAGCTAATTTTTTAAAAATTGTATTTGTTGTTGTGGGTGGCACCTATGGCTCAAAGGTGTAGGGGGCTGGGCCCATATGCCGGAGATGGTGGGTTCAAACCCAGCCCCAGCCAAAAACTGCCAAAAAAATAAATTGTATTTGTTGTTAAGACAAGATCTTACTATGTTGACCAGGCTGATCTCAAACTCCAGCCGTCAAGCAATTCTCCCTCCTTGGTCTCCCAAAGCGTGGGGATTACAAATGTGAACTGCCTCATCTGGCCACATGAACTCATTTTTACATCTATATGAGAGTCATGATTTTACCCTTTTTAAAAAAATTATGCTTAAGCACTTCCTTTCAAGAACCTCTTCCTTAATTTCAGATCCCAGATTTTATTGCATCTTAGCTGAAAACCTCCAAAATGGTTAAAGGAAAATTTTCAAAAATACCAAAAGGCCAAATTATGATTCTTCTGAAAGAAGGATGGAAATAAGGAAAAGGTGAAAAGGTGGAAATAAGGAAACAGAATAATAAGACAAAAGAGGTTAGGCTCATGCCTGTAACTCTAGCACTCTGGGAGGCCAAGGCAGGAAGGAAGATCCCTTGAGCTCAGCAATTTGAGTACAGCCTGAGCAAGTCTTCATCTCTACTAAAAATAGAAAAACTAGGCAAGTGTTGTGGCCGGCCTCA